TGTACCCAGGGGCCCCGGCATGGCCTAAGACGACCCTGGATAAAATGGCTTGTCACCTGGCACCTTAGATTATAATTATGTTAAAAAGTTGTTGTTGTAATTTTATAATGTATCTATTTGTAAATAGCTAACTTATGCATTTTTGTCATTGTGTAAGATGGAGTTTGATGTCACAAATATTTAAAACATAAAACTAATTATTTTTGTTTTGTTTCGAAAACAAAATGTGTCAAAAAGTTTTATTATTTTTTTATACTATTTCTAAAGAGAGGAATAGTTTCTCTGTTTCTTCTCATAGGGCTCAAGCCCTGGAGCACTTGAGAACGGGCGGTCGTAGATCGGCACAGGCATATAATGGATTATCCATAGGTATACATTTATTTTGCTAAATAAAACACAGATTGTTCATATTGTGTGTGTTGATCTGTAATTTTAGAGTCGTTACGTAAGAGACGATTTCAAATCATCTTCAACAGCCTCAAACAGTCCACTGATGGACATAGGCCTATCCTTAGAAAGGAGGTTTCATCGATTTCCAATATTTTAAAAGTATAAAGATATTTAGACTTTGACTTTGAGGCCAGTACATATCCATCTAACTCACTTCAAATTAGTTTAAATTTTACTACACCAATTTCACATTAATATGATTTTACCTTTCATTAAATTAACTCTATTTTTTCAATACATGTTGTTAGCACTAATAAGTATTTGGTATAATAAAACTCACTGTATATTTGGTACTCCGATCATATATCTTTCACGACTACGCAGAACAACAGCACTGCAGAGAGAAGGAAAACTTGACACAAACCCTATACCAACCCGTCTGGCCAGCGTGGTATAGTAGGCCAAAAACTCCTTTCTAAGGAGTGGCCTATGTCCAGCAGTGGACTATTAAAGGCTGTTGATGATGATGACTACCTTCCTTTACTTCAAAATCGCCGTTCTTTTATTACAATACTCCCTCTAATAGAACCACAACTACCCTCTTTTTTATTTTACAAATATATTAAACTCTAAAATTAAATAGTCTCATATTAATATATTAATTTATTCTTATATTAACGCATCTATAAGTATTACATACCTTTGCATTGCCAGACGTTTGAACCAGGTTGCATTGGTCGTGATCCCAAGCTAACTTTGACCATATCTAAAATGACCAACTGACTTAGAAGGTCAGCTAGTTTCTATGCTGATGTTTGACAATAACGCAGTTGAAATCTAATCACCAATCTACTTCCCTCGGGACACTTGGCTCCCATGACGCTACTCGCATGGGATCTAGGGACAATTTTGTATTCCTCTTGGCTCCCATATGGCTTGGATCTGCCTATAAGCGGCGATGATGATTTGTTTAATTTATTCACTTCATATTTTCCTTTACAGTTCTTGTCACGATGTGACAAGATACGAAAATTCTTAATGCCATTACAAACTCTCCCCTATAGCATTCGTTCCTCGGCCATACGCCTCCAGTGCATATAACCTCTCTATTCTATATTTTGCAGATGAGACATGATATTTGCTGGCACTACTTACTAATCTGAATGATAAGATAGGTACTAACGTGCGTCTTTATCGGCACTCTGATATCTAATCGGCCAGACAATCATTACGCAATTACGCATTGAAAATCTTACTACTCTGTCAAGAAAGTACCGGGCAAAGATCAATAATACACAAAATGTTTGTTATTCAACCAAATATATTTTATCAATTTCAAAGTATGCTCCTTCAGAAACGATACACTTACGCCAACGAATAATCCAATCATCAAAACATTTTTTGAAACGCTGTTTCCGGAATTGAGTTTAGTTCTCGCCGCGAATTCTCCTTTATGTCTTCTATCGATTGAAAACGGGTGCCACGAAGTGGTAATTTGAGTTTAGGAAAAAGAAAAAAGTCGGCTGAAGCCATATCTGGTGAATATGGTGGTTGCTCGATGGCATTTGTTGAGTGTTTGTTCAAAAATTCGTTCACAATGATGGCCTTGTGCGAAGGCTCATTATCGTGGTGCAAAATCCAAGATTTTTTTTTCCACAAATCTGGCCTTTTTCGTCGAATTTGCTGTCTTAAATGCTGCATAACGCTTGAAAATAATATTGTTTATTTACCGTTTGACCTTCCGGCAAGAATTCCGAGTGCACAACACCGCGATAGTCAAAGAAAACCGTCAACATGACTTTGACTTTTGATCGACTTTGGCGTGGTTGTTTCGGTTTCGGTTCAGTTGGAAGGCGCCACTCCGAAGCTTGTTGACTAGTTTGCATGTCAAACTCGTAAACCCTCGTCTCGTCACCAGTAACTATGCGTTTCATTAATGTTGGGTCGGAATTCTAGCAAGTCCTCAGCGACTCTCATGCGAATGAGATTTGGAGAAAATTCATGTCTTTTGAGACTAGCCGAGCGGTAACATGTTTCATACCCAAATGATTAGTTAAAATGGTACGGATCGACTCGTGAGATACAGAAAGTTCGGCGGCTATCTCTCTCAAAGTTGAATGAGGATTTTCAGTCACTATTTCCTTCTATTTTGCGATGTTAACTTCAGTTGCAGACGTTGATGGCCTACCAGAGCGAGGCAAATCTTCCATCACATCTCGACCGCTTTTGAATGCTTTGTACCACTCATAAGCACGTGTTTTTGATAAAGTCGATTCACCCTAAGCCTTCTGTAACATTTTCAGTGACTCCGAACACGAAATTCCATTGGCGATGCAAAATTTAAGACAAACACTTTGTTCGATGTTTTTGTCCATTCTGAAATTCGCAATACACACTAGATATGAAATAACTAAAAACAGCACTGTATTTAACATTAATAAAGATGGAACTCAAACTCCGCGCCAAAATGGAAAACAGTTGTGCCAATCTAACAACAAAAAAAATCAAAAATTTGAATTTGGAATCATAAACAAATCATTCATTCCCGATACTTTTTTGACTAAATGTATCAGTAAATTTATGAGTAATGTATATTTTCCTCCCTTCATGAGTTAATCCCCTGTTTACTTTATTAGTACATCATTTATTTCTCATTTTATTAGTTTTGTTTCGTTTCGTTGTTGTTGATGCAGGGAAAGTTGAATCCGAAGAGGTGCTGATTGTGGTTGCTTGATGTCTGTAGATTAAATTTTACATCTGAGTTATATAATCTTCAGTAATGTGATTGGGGCAAGGACCTTATAATAATATCTAAAGTTGCGTCTTAGAATATTTGATTAACACATAAGCCTTAATAATAAAAAAACACCTGACAGGCTTAGAAACTAGTTACGGCATATATTTATATATTTACCATTATAGGTATTAAACCAGACGAACGACCCATTACCTGAGTCAAATGTCACCATTTAATGGGCACTTGCAGCAAATTTGTGTTTATGGATCTATTTTTGTATAATCAATTCTTCGTCTATAATCAATGATGAAAAATCAATTATAAAATACCAGAACAGTATTTAATCAACATAAAATCTTTACAAATTTCGAATTCAAGTGTTAAATTTCGAGATAGTTGATTTTTAATGAAATTAGTTTAATCGCTTATACGTAAAACGCATCTTACGTTTGGTATTATATATATATACTTTTAAAGACAACTCCCGCACTAACAATAAATCCTGTGTTGCGGGGGACTTTGCAAACATACATGAAACGGACACTAGGACACCCAGACTCAGAAGAAAAATTTGTGGATCACACAAAGTGTCGTCCCGTCGAGGTTTAAGCGGCGTGGCGACCGCTTAAACCACTACGGCATCCGTGCGCCATCAGTGCATTCTACAAGCACACCTGAATTTTTATAAACTGAATGCTCATAATAAAGCGATAAATATTATTATTTATGCTTAGGACGTTACATAGTTTAGTATTATCCCATCTTTAAAACCATTTTCATTTTTCCTTTTATATTACTTGGTAAATCTACCTGTTTGTGTTAGCTGAGGTCGGAGTTGGGTTGGGAGGGGTTTAGAACGGCCAAGATATTATAGGCAGCGCAGGTTCCGGCGATCGCTGAACGACCTCCATCCTCCATAGGCGCTGGCCGGGGGGTGACAGGTGTGGCCATCTGTCACCCTAGTAGAATAAGGGCTTTTCTCTCTAGGTTACAATTGGTTCCCTTGTACCCGATACGATACGTCGAAAGCCCAACATAATCCCACCGATTGTCCGGTAGGGTGTAGCCTAGGGGAATTCCGCACTGAGAAAATAGGTGTGTGCTCTCATCGCTTAAATACTGAGATCGGCTCGATCCAGCAGCCGGTTGTTAAAAACTTGCCTTATCAATTCCTTTGGCATCATTCTGATGTACCCGTATTTGTTAACTACCACAAATAATATCACGAAAATTAAATCTACACATGTTACACAATATTGCCTTAAATTTCTTAAACCGCTTTTTTAGGAAGTTTGGGCAATCACATTAAAAAAATAGAGGTCCAAGTAAAATAAATTGGTCAATAAAAAAACCGTGAGGAAACCCCACATAGAAATACGGGGTTTCCAAACGGTTTCTTTAGCAGATGAAGCAATTTAGAGACTCAAAGTTTTTTTACTGTTACTACCATTTTCCTCATAAGTTTAGGCTCATCTGTCATCAAATTGCGTAAAATCCAATACGATTTTAAATAATTGGAATAACAGACAATCTAGTTTTCTACTATTAGGTTACAACTTACAATTACTTACTTACACTTACTTACTTACATTTAAAGGTCTTACTGAAAAATTAAATGATAAGATCTGTAACAGTCATGATCTACATGATACTACCGCGTTTGGACTTAACAAACTATCAAATAACGAATTCTTGTACACCTACATACGTAAAAGTTTTGCGTACAAATAGATTTTATTCATAATTCAAACATTAAAAAAAACCATCGACCTATAAAAAAAAACTATTTGACTAACATATGTCACTGTCAACTAACAATGAAATTTAATTTAGGCCACTCTGTATTTATTCATAATTTATCACCATACACCATATGAAGAAACATCGTAAAGGTACTAAAACCAGCATTAAAGCTGACGTCATTGTGTTAGGATGCAGCCTCCCTGGAATCGTTACAGCACACAAACTGAAGAAGAAGTTCGGTGACACCATGGACATCGTTGTGTTGGACATACAAGGAGTATCCAAAGTACTTTCTAAGTGTAACGTCGCTTTCAAAGAAGACACGCCTGCCGATGATGACACAGACTCTTTAGACGACGCTTTTAATATCACACAAGCGAAGACATATGAACCTTCTTTAGTAATATTGGACTCGTTAGCAAAACATTATCTCATTAAATATACCAATGAATTCAAAATCCCAATTCCAGTTGCTATCATTAATCCAACGGAGAATGAGTCCACTTTAGACAAACTATTTGAATATTGTGATGGAACATTCGTCCGGTTTAACAATCGCTTCCATGATTTTAACTATCTTAATTTCTTGGAGAAGTTTGAATTAAATCAGTATCAAAATTACTTGGACAAAAGCATGAAATGTCTATTTCGACATAACTCATTTCATGACCCAAAGCAGAGAAAAAGATTATTGTACTACGACCAAACGTCCATGGAGACAAACATTTGTCAGGCTTTACTATTTTCTACTTCTAGAGAAATAATGAGAACTACTGTAAAATTAGTGTGCGGAGCACCAGCGGATACAGTGTCTCTGTTGTTCTATCTTCATCAGTGTTACAGAACTAGTGGTCCGAAAAATCATTTAGATGGACAAAATACTAGACTTCGGGAAAAACTAATAGGTCACTGCAGAATACGACTCTGGACCCAACTCACAGAAAGCATTGCTGATATTACGTTGCCAGCGAAAGCTATAAAAAATATCCGCACGTATAATGATGCTGATGTTGAACATGTCATGTTAGAAACTATGATGGGTGAAACTACATATGTTTGCAGTTTATTAGCTATGGCTTTAAAACCTGATCAATTACAAAAAATCCAAGTCGAAAACGGATTGTTGCCAGATGAAGAGGCTACGATAGCCAAAGATTTAGCTCCCGGGAAGGCCAAGAAGTTTTTAATACAGTACGAGGAAAGTTTTTGGGAGCAACAAGGCTTCAGTGGTGATATCTTGAGTATACGTGGCCCAATAATCTGGGCTATGGAAAGACCAAGACTATCATGCACGGGAAGCGTCCAGAAATATGCTGCTCTCATTGGTTATCTAATGGTGAAAGATGATGAAACTGACTCCAAAGAAGCTGTATTGCAGCAGCTTGTAAGCTTATATGGACAGGAAGCTGGATCTCCTGTGACATACAGAGAATCTTCTATAGCTGATATATTTGTTCCTCGGTGCGGCAATTATGTTGGATTGCGCGTGTTGACTAATGAAGTGAGTCCAAGAGGCTTAGAATGGGGAGCATTCGACGTGTTTGCTGATGGGGACGTTGCTTCTGCGCTAGAAGCTGGGCATTCGGCTTATTTACATTTAGTGAGTTGTCTACGGCCACAAGCACAGACGTTCGAGGATATATCGGCAAGTGATTGGCCGACAGTACTGAATGACTCTCCTTTCCAGTGGTGGTTTTCTCGAATTAATGTTGTCAATACCATCAAGGTAACCATATGCACGACCGCTATTATTGCTGCTTATAAATTAATCCGTTCATATATAAACAAGAACTGATATTTTTTTACCCATTTTATTTTTAATATAAATATACACATATTTTTATTGATCTTTAATCTACACTTTAATTTTAAATTCCTAAAATAAGGCTTCAATTTTAATACCTACAGAAGGAAAAGAATACAGCATGATAACTATTTTGTAGAGAGAGTTCTGTATTCAACTTCTGTTCTGTATTTAGTCTTTCCGTGTTAGTATACAATTCAATTCATTTTATGATAACGTCTGTGACCATAGCCACTGCGAGTCGGTCGAATCGTCAAGCAAATCAAAAGCATGTAATGTCCATTTACTTTAAGTAACATAGGGAGACATTGACATTGACATGGGGAGATTGACAAAAACTGTTACGAGTTTTTTATGGTAGAAGGGGCAAACGATCAGACGGGTTACCTGATCACCTACAGCTCCAGTCACCTATAGCTCAAGTGCGTCCCCGGTTAGTACCCTCGATCAAAATAGGGTGGATTGGGAGAGTTGGGCTCTGGGTAACAGTTATAGTTAGATTAGATATCAGCCGATGAAATCGTGGAAGCACAGTTTTTTGCAAGACGATCATTTTTAGGGTTCCGTACCTCAAAAGGTAAAAAAGGAAACCTTATAAGATCACTTTCTTGTCCGTCTGTCCGTGTGTCACCACCGATTTTCTCAGGAACGGGTAATTAAGTAAATTTCAACTTGCTAGGTCAGCAAGTTGAAATTTATACCAGATAATGAAGTCTATGGTCCCTATTAGGTGTATAAAAATCTAAAGTCCTGAGTCAACACGATAGAAAGATATAGGCAAATTTCGATTTTCGCCAAAACTTGTAAGTACCAAAATTTACCGTAATTTTCAACATTTTTTATTTTTTAGAATTTTCTCTTTACTTGTGCTGTAAGACTTTGCTTTTAAACAGAATTGTCAATTCTAGGTCAACCGGAAGTAATCTATAGATTTTGGGTCGAAAACCTATATGGTAGTTCCCGTTGACCTAGAATCACAAAATTTGGCAAAAAGAAACGTCTTACAGCACAAATAAAGGAATTATTCCAAAAAAATAAAAAAAAGTTGAAAATTAAGATAAATTTTGGTACTTACAAATTTCAAAATCTGGGTAGGTACGGAACCCTCGAGTTCGACTCGTACATGACCGGTGTTTTTTTTTTAAATTGTTAGATATTTTTGAAAGGTTTAAAGCTAAAGCTTTATACATGCAAGTTTACAATGAAATATATTTTATTATTAATTAACATTTTAATATTACCAAGAAGGACTTATGCCTTGTCCTAGTGAATTTGACCTCCTTGCGTGTCCACGCCCTTGCTGGATCAGAGGCCGACCTATTCTATGAACCCTTATTGTTCAACGCAGACGAGACTCGAATTAATATCATTGTCCTTAAAGTATCCATAATTAATTGCTATAGTGGGTACCTACAGAGTTTTTGCTTAAATGTGGGATTCATTGCAATCACATTTTAAGTTAATAAAAAATGTTAACGAATTAATAGATGGCATATAAATGTTTCCTACCATTTTCCTCATAAGTTTAGGCTCACCTGTTGTCTGTCTGTCAAATTGCGTAAAATCCAATACGATTTTAAATAATTGGAATAACAAACAATTCAGTTTTCTTCGCAACTTCTTCTATAAAAATTAAAGGTCTTACTGAAAAATTATCATGATCTGCATGATACTAACGCGTTTGGACTTAACAAACTGTGAAATAACGAATTGCTGTACATCTACATACGAACTCGTACAAGTTTTGCGTACAAATAGATTTTATTAATCATTCAAACATAACAAAAACCATCGACCTATAAAAAAAAACAATTTGACTTACATTAACGCCATAGCTTTTCAACAAAGTAGACTAGTTATAAAACGCCTAAAAATTATTGTAGAGCAAAAGACTTTGTTGTGTTATTGCCTTAATATTTTCACAGGTAGACTAAGGTGTAATTAGCATTGAAAATAAAAAGACATTTCTATTTTCAATTTGCTAACAAAATGATCAGACTAGTGATATTACCTCTCCAATGACTTATATACGAATGTTCAAAGCAGTCGCACTTGTTGTCACAGTCTCAATCCTAATTCCCTATCTAAGAATTACAGTAATCTTTACCCTAGGTCCTTATTCGAAAAGTATTATCTATATTTATAAAAATAGCTGGTCTGGCGTCCGGCAGCTAGCTGGCCATGAGCAAAACCGTCCGAAACATTTTTCAATGTTACACATTTCTTCGCATCTGAGGGAGGTTACCAGAGACCCACAAAGTGGTATTTCTGCTTATAAATGCTAAGAATTACTAAACTATTATTAATTATTGAAAACGAAGGATTTATTTGAATTGTGTCGTTATCATTGGCTATAGTTTTTGTTTTGTTCAGCGTAGTGTTATTCGTTGGTCCATCAGTGATACGACTTCACAATAATACATGCATGCACACATGCGTGGAAAGCGAGATCGGAGACAATGATGCTATATATATATATTTATATATATGGTAAGGAGCGAATGGGACTCTAATAGTAATAATAAACTATATTTGTGAAAAATATTTGTTCCATAGTGTGTTACCAACATTTGAAACTTCTTTTCTAGTGTTTGTAATAAATAAAATACTATTAAAACTTTTTATAATGGTAGATCTCAAGCTCAAGTTCGTCAAAACAGTTCTCAGGATACTGTTACGAATATTTTCAACTCTTCTCAGTAGTGAATCTGTTTTCTTGCGATTAATCGTAACTCATTAAATCAAATCATCCGGCGCCGTTGTGGGGTTCCTTTCAACCTACGGCCTTTACGGGCGCTAGTCTTAAGATGTCAAGTAGAATGAACACGTCCCCAGGCAAAAGTAGATAGTCAAACTATATTAGAGTTCTTCGGGAAGGGAGTTTCGTCTATGGTCATTCTTATTGAGCCCCCGGACATAGACACCAGTGACGAAACGTCGTTTGATTTTGGTCGGTTCGATTTCGACATGATCACTTCTTTGATTTTTTACCAGCTGCACCTGAGGCGGTTCTATACCTACATTAATTTTATTAACGTGTGGGTAGCTTATCTATACACTTAAAATTACTAGTCGTGAAGGAATTACTGATTCAGCAACGAAGAGTCTAATTCACGGGGGCTACAAACTTAAAATTTTGAGAGCTAAACCTTTTTATGTTGTAAGCACTCAGTAAGAAAGAATTATTGGAAATTTCACCTAAGGAGGTAAAATTAAATATGAACCGCTGTATGAAAGTACGTTATGAACACATGAGCAAAGCCACTGGCAACAGCTAGTTCACTAATATGAAGAAAGTCATGGCACTTAACCTTAATTTATTGTGAAGATGGCAAACATTTATTGCTTTGATGCAAGTTGCTATAAATTACATTAGAGGCGCTGCAATTTTAAAACAGTGGCGACCGGATGGCGAAGTGATTTGTGTAACGGACGCTATTCTAAAGGTCGCGGGTTCAATTCCCGCTTAAACCAAACATTTGTGTGCATGAACATTATATGTTTGATTTAGTCTGGGTGTTTCTATGTATAATATGTATGTATTTACAAAAAAAAAAGTATACAAAAAGTATATTTTTATCAGATGGCGTTGTGTGAATGTGATAGAATATTATTATTATAGGGGTTCTAATTTTAGCTCAATTTTGATATAATGACAAATGTAGTGCAATAAATAATAACATTAACTGTTTTATTTTTATTTTAAATAAGATATATTTTTAATTTTTTTTTTTTTTTTTATTTAGAAATATATAGGTATGTTTATTTAGATACAAATGTGCTTTTTAACCGACTTCATGACGGCGATAGACTTGCTACCTATTACGTAAGGGGCACTAAAGTGTATGTATTTTTTTTCTATGTCATTAATTTTCATTTTAATTTCAGTGTTTTTGGTTTTTTTTTAATGTTTGTTTATGTACACATATTCTCTAAAATTCATTCCCTAATCCCTTAACAAATGGTCTCGAACTTCAATATGCTATAAAATTTTAGTTATTTCATATGGTTTCTACTACTTAACACATGACTCCTATTGTATAAACTATATATGGTAGCTTGTAACTATAGTAACTATTGGAAGTCGTCTCTTTCTTCTCATAAGGGTCAAACCCTTGGAAACGGGCGATTGTAGATCGGCAGTGGCATATCATAGTTTTTTCAGGAGTTTGATTTTTGTTAAATTTATTTGCTTACTATTTGACAAAACAGAGATTTTTGTCTTTCGTGTGTGTTGATCTATGACTTTAGAGTCCACATAAAAGACGATTTCAAACAATTTAATTTTTTTATGAAATAAAGAGAGTTTGTGTTCGTCACGGGTCATCAGCTCACTAGAGCCTGGGTTGAAGTGGTTAAAACTACACGGTGTTCAGTTTCAAGTGTCTCTATCGCAGGGGACACTTAATTCCCTTACAAGAAAGCCACCGCGAACCCCTGCAGACCTAGGCCGCCTAATTAACATGTGACACACCGTGGAGTACGAGCAGATATGCGCGCACGGTACATGTAGCACAACCTTTTAATGAATCTTCATCTTAATACGTTCTGATTCCTTGGTACTTAAATACTGAACGCTCACTTAGAATAGACTTTATAGAATTTAGTATTCATTTTCATTTTTTCGCAGATTGTCCAACTTCTTAGTTCCGGAACTAATTCCGCGTAAAAAAACTCAATTCCTGTACTGATAGCGGAAATGTTTTCTTTTTGTTTATCAACGCTCCACTGATCTTAAACGTGACCCAACCAATTGTTTGTTTATAATAAAGTTAAATAGTCCTCTTCCGCTAGTTAGACCATTTGTTTTAACTTATAAAAATAATGGAAATTAGGTAAAGTATTCGATAAACAATCGCTACAAACACCTAACTAGTAGATAACATCTAAGACATGTTCTGCCCCGTTATTGTAAGTACAGTAAGTCTTAAAGCTAAGTAACATAACTGACTGTATAAATGTCAATTAGGCCAGTATAGGGCTCATAAGGG